CAGCAGGACCAGCTCTGTGACACAGGGCTAATGTGCCACTCAAGAGGATCCAGATCCCACACAGTGGCTGTGGTTCAAATCCCCAGTCTGGCCCTCCTAAAACATGCCAGGTACACATGCAAGTTCCCAGGATCCAGCAGACTTGAGGTGAAGAGTCCTCCTCTTTCTCTCTCTGTCTCTAAGTCTCACATAGGCATGCATATGCACTATCATGAGTAAAGAAAAAGAAGGCATCAGCAGATACTTAATGAGGAAACATTAAATGACAATATGGCTAGAGAATCCTTTAAAAGCACTTCGATTTCTTGCTTCTGGTCAAGGCTTCAGCCAACATAATAAAGTAGGAGGAAAAGAATTAGAAAAATGCATCATGACTTTTCTGACAACTCAATATATACATTTTTAGGATTAATGAGAGATTAATTATGCTAATCTTATCGATATCAGTATTCTTAGCATCTAGTTAACACAATGACCGGCACGTAATAGATCCCCGAAAAGTATTTGTTAGATGGGTAAGTAAACACATCTTCACCACAACCCTGAAAGTTATGCACTGCCCATTTTGCAAGTGAGAAAACCAAAATGTAATAGGTTTAGTAGATTGGTTTCTGCTACCAAACATCAGATAGCTAATAACTGCCAGTGAGTACAAGACTCACGCCAGTATGTTATCAGGGCACATCACGAGCAATGACTTTTGTTTGTGGTCTTATTTGGTGGTGATAACAAGGATGATGACAAAAATAACTGAGATATTTCAATTACTCAGGTGATGACCAGCATTTTTCACTTTTTTTTTTTTTTTTTTTTTTACATACTACTAACCTGTAATCTAGCTATACATATTCTAATGCAGCACTGTGGTAATTCCGCCTCTAGCTTACTCCATAGTAGTGAAACACGTATTACTGTAGTGTTTAGTTTTCTTGTGTCTTATTTTATTGTTCCTATCAACATGAACCATGGGAGGAAAATTCATTTGTGATCTATGTGTTTTTTCTTATTCCTCCAATTTTTTATAATTTTCTGTGCTTAGGAGAATAAAAATACACAAACAAGATAAAAACATTGACCCATTTTAAAATAAAGTTATCAACATATTTCAAGCATATACCCCTATTTGCAAACTTCTGTTTGTTAAAAGTAAAAGCTTGAGAGTATTGCTAATAACAGTAATTAAATGTGTTGATTGGCTATTTACCAATCTCCTCCACACACATATGCTTCATTTACTTTTTGACACTTGGAAGCTGCAATTTGGCTAACTGGAGCCCCTACTCCAAAGAGACACTTTGCTATGATTTGCTAAACTTCTGAGTAAATAGAGACCAGAGGGCATCATTAACACATCCACTGTTCTGCCTCGGTCTTGATGGGAAATAATTTCACACTCTGAGTCACTGGGGAAGCACTCTACTTAGTGAAGATAGGAAAACAAACATCACAAAAAGTCATTGAGGAAGCAAATGCTTAGGGAATTCTCAGACTATTAAGCAAAAGCCAGGTGTAAACGAGAATAAAACTTTAGCTGACGCAAGAAAAGCAAAATACAATGACTTGTGCCTCAATATTTAAACTAAGGTCTATTTTTTTCATTTGATACCAATATGCTCATGAGAAAAAAAACAGGCAGTCATTTAACTGAAAGTTTTCGGTAGCTCAGAAAAACCATTCAACTCACTTCATACCTTGGCCCTGATCAGCAGATTTTTAAATAATCCTTGATTAAACATGCATTGTGGTTGTTCTTTAGCGAATAGCGTCAGAATTTTAAGTGGTAAGTAAATTGCATACATAAAATGAATTAAGTTCCTCTGTCAAGAGGGGGAATGACTCAGGACAAGGTCATCTTTCCCAGTAGCAAGAATCGTTTTGCTTGTTTGGCTGTTTTCTTTACCATTGGCTTCTGTTGGATTTGGACTATGGGTTATTACCTATAACTGTGACTGTGGGTTATTATCTATGACTCTT